ACCAAGGCAAAATATATAAGAAAAAAAGGTCATTTCAATTAAATAAATGATTAGTTGGAGTTAAATAGTGACACAATGACATAAACCTGTAAACTATAGCGAAAACAATGCTACATCCAGCTGTATTTATAACCGACTATAGATAAATATCGTTAGTATTATCTGAGCGCAGGTTCAAGCTGTCACCGTGTGTGTGAGGGGGGGGGGGGGGAAGACACATCAAGTAAACGTTGCTAATTTGTCTGAGGAAAAATTGAATTAATAACTGTTAGAGTGAGGCCCCTTAATGTTTTTCTTCTAGGTGGATTAATATAAAATTTGCACGTATTGTCGCCATACGAAGTGGATTGGGGTGATAGGAAATTTACAAATCTCCATACCATACAATCAAGCAAATTATTATACAACAGCCTATGGGTGTGTATATTTGTACGTATGTTTATAACACCGATAGAACAATTATTTGTACATTTGATATTGCTTAATAAGTAATTTAGCTTTATGTCGGTGTTCTTATTTTTCTTTTTTTACTGATTGGTTACCTATGATTTGTAATGTTATTTCTATTAAAAGTTGGGTGATATAGCTAAAATCAATTTATATCCTTTTTCACGGGTTTGTTTCACTGTCGTAAGTAAACGGCTTTTACTTATATTCAATTAAAAAATATGAAAATGAGTGTAATCGATGGTTCTCAAACAGATTTAAGTTTTTTAAATGTAACTATAATTTTATCGTTTGCCGTATTTTTAAAAAGATTTTCTTGAAAAAAATAGTTGATTACATAGACTTTTCAAGCCTATTTGTAAGTAGTTTCTCCTAAATCTAATTAAATAAACCGGGAGTGATCTCCCCTAAACTTTCTCGGATATTCTATTATAAAACTACGAAGGCTGGCAACTCAGGACATAGACAATATTTGTAATCCATTTTTAATTACTTTAACTTTTTATAATAGAATGGAATCTCGTAAAAAAAAGAATTGCACAACAAGTGAACGCCAAATAAAATGTGCATAATAGTGCACGATATTATTAGTACTTTATAAATTTAAATGCGTTTTTTGAGAAATCAGAAATAGCGTAAATTAGTACTTCCGGTCAACAGAAACTACTCAAAATTTGACTGAAGGTAAAGAATTAGATCTTTTACTTACAGGTGAAATTTCATTTATCTATCTGAAATAGTACTCAAGTTATAGGCTTTTGAAAAATTAAAAGTAGAAAAAGTACGACTTCCGTTTATCGGAAATCGCTCAAAAGTTGATACGGATCTACGATTTTGCTAAAATACTTATATATGAAATTTCATCCACCTAGCTGTAACGGTACTCAAGTAATCGTGTTTACACACAGACACACACACAGACAGACACACAGACAAACGGACAAGATTGCAAAATTATGTTTTTCCGTATCCGTGAGGTGCAAAACGTCGAGATTTGTAAAAAAATCTCGATTTTTTGCACGATTACAACACTTTTTCTATACGTCGTATTTACGAGAAAGTAAAACAAGTTATTAAAAAGTCTAGTGACAATTTAAGCGCAATTTCCTTATGTTATCCATGCCCATAACAATTTTAAATCGAGATAAATCATATATTCAGCAAATAAATAATGCAACACAAATAGTTTTAATAATTCAAAACAAAATAGAAAAAATATTTATTAACGAGATTAAAAAAATAACCTATATCAACGGACGAGTAGGCCTAAAAGATGCTCAGTTTAAAAAATATTAAAACGTTTATATCAGTATTTGACTATGATTAAAACCCGCCCTCTTGTTTGTAAACAGCACGTGGAAAAAAACGAGCGACGCGTAGCTCGCCTCTCTCTCTCTCTCTCTCTCTCTCTCTCTCTCTTGCCGCGCGCAGTGACGCGAACGATCCCACGTCGCGATAGGCTAGCCTCCCGTATCAGTCGAAAAAAAAAATCCTTTCGAACCACCGCTCATTCGCTATGGTAAAATCCTTTCGAACCTCAGCTTTGCTCTAAAAACCTACACGATGCTCAGTTTAAATGTTCTTAATTAATTTTTTGTGACCGAACGAAAGGATATTTTTTGAAAACTTTCTTCGACAATATTGGTCTACATTATGGCAGGAATCGATTGGTAAATGTTTCAAGTCGCTAAGTGGTCTGGTTGCCGAGATATGGAGAAAAAACTGCATTTGTTCGAGGTTTTTTGGCTTTTCCGGGAAATCCAGGAAGGAACTCCGGGAATTTTTTTGGCCCACAATCATCCTTGGAACTTGCTTAACATATTTGCTTTTGAAACTAGTCCTCGATATTGCTTCGTTGAGGAGGAGATACGACTTAAAGGACGCATTATTAAACGCAATTCTCCTTCATGGAAATTGCGCTAAATAAACCGGGAGTGATCCCCCCTAAACTTTCTCGAATATTCTTATATAAAATAACAGGGGATGGGAACTCGGGCTATAGACATGATTTTTAATCCATTTTAAATACTTAAAGTTTGAAAAATAAAATAAAATCTCGTAGACAAATTAATTGCACACCAAGTGAACGCCAAATAAAAAAGCGCATAATAGTGCGCAATATTATTAGTACTTTTAAAATTTACATTAGTTTTTTGAGAAATCGGAAGTAGCGTAAATTACTACTTCCAGTCAACGGAAATTACTCAAAATTTAACAGAAGGTAGAGAATTAGATCTTTTGCTTACATTTGAAACTTCATTTATCTATCTGAAATAGTACTCAAGTTATAGGCTTTTGAAAAATTCAAAGTAGGAAAAGTACCACTTCCGGTTATCGGAAATCGCTCAAAAGTTGATACGGATCTACGATTTTGCTAAAATACTTATATATAAAATTTCATCAACCTAGCTGTAACGATACTCAAGTTATCGTGTTTACACACGGACAGACAGACAGACAGACACACAGACATACGGACAAGATTGCAAAATTATGTTTTTCCGTATCAGTGAGATGTAAAACGTCGAGATTTGTAAAAAATCTCGATTTTTTTTTTGCACGATTACGAGACTTTCTCTATACTTCGTATATACGAGAAAGTAAAAAGGATGTGTGACAAGGGAGACAACTTAAAATTAAACTTCTAAAATATAGGCATTCATAATACAAGAAAGAGATAATAAATCTTTAAATGCTAACTTTTGTTTAATTGACGAGACCAATATGTTTTAACTTTGTTATAAAATTATATTCAGATCGTATATCATGTTTAAATGTGCAGTTTAATATGAATTTTCCGTTAATTTGAAAACACAATAACTCAATTGAAGGGTCAATTTCTTTATTACATACTTCGTACTTATCAAATTTGTTTACCGAGCAGTACAAAAACTATTCCATTTTTTAAAATGTTGGATCCCTAGCACTAAAGGGATAATAATACTCGCTTGGATCGACTACAAATCTGATCGTTCCAGGTGTGATATAAGAGGGGCAGGAATACATGTGTGACACAGGGGGAGGGGCTGGAATACATGTGACACAGGGGGAGGGGTTAGAATACATGTGTGACACAGGGGGAGGGGCTGGAATACATGTGAGACACAGGGGGAGGGGCTGGAATACATGTGAGACACAGGGGGAGGGGCTGTAATACATGTGTGACATAGGGGGAGGGGCTGTAATACATGTGACACAGGGGGAGGGGCTAGAATACATGTGTGACACAGGGGGAGGGGCTGGAATACATGTGTGACATAGGAGGTGGGGCTGGAATACATGTGTTTCATAGTGGGAGGGGCTGGAATACATGTGTGACTTAGAATGTGGGGCTGGAATACATGTGTGACATAGGGGGAGGGGCTGGAATACATGTGTGACTTAGAAGGTGGGACTGGAATACATGTGTGACATAGGAGGGGCTGGAATACATGTGTGACTTAGAAGGTGGGGCTGGAATACATGTGTGACATAGGCGGTGGGGCTGGAATACGTGTGTGACAAAGGGGGAGGGGCCGGAATACATGTGTGACATAGGGGGAGGGGCTGGAATACATGTGTGACATAGGAGGAGGGGCTAGAATACATGTGTGACATAGGAGGAGGGGCTGTAATACATGTGTGACAAAGGGGGAGGGGCCAGAATACATGTGTGACATAGGGGGAGGGGCTGGAATACATGTGTGACATAGGAGGTGGGGCTGGAATACATGTGTGACATAGGAGGTGTGGCTGGAATACATGTGTGACATAGGAGGTGTGGCTGGAATACATGTGTGACATAGGAGGTGGGGCTGGAATACATGTGTGACATAGGAGGTGGGGCTGGAATACATGTGTGACATAGGGGGAGGGGCTGGAATACATGTGTGACATAGGAGGTGGGGCTGGAATACATGTGTGACATAGGAGGTGTGGCTGGAATACATGTGTGACATAGGGGGAGGGGCTGGAATACATGTGTGACATAGGAGGTGGGGCTGGAATACATGTGTGACATAGGAGGTGTGGCTGGAATACATGTGTGACAAAGGGGGAGGGGCTGGAATACATGTGTGACAAAGGGGGAGGGGCTGTAATACATGTGTGACATAGAAGGAGGGGGCTAGAATACATGTGTGACATAGGAGGTGGGGCTGTAATACATGTGTGACATAGAAGGAGGGGCTAGAATACATGTGTGACATAGGAGGAGGGGTTGGAATACATTCGTCACTGAAGAGGAGATGAAATCTGCTAACGAACTGATAGGTTTACATGAATGATACTATTACAGGCATCACACCAAATCAATCAAGGTGTTCCATTGATTTTTTTAATATGGAAATTAGATTAAAAAATCGAATAAAATAGTTTTTAAACTGAAACATAGACATATCACTGCCTCACCACTCTGGTAATGTCACTGCCATACCACACAAAGTCGATGCCACACCAGACATACAGTGTCATTACCACACCACACAATTAATGCCACACGAGACACTTTCAATGCCAAACCAAACTTGTCACCACCGCAAGTAGACAGAAAAATGTAAACAAACTAACTCAGAAACTTGATCAAGAATTTATTTTGTACACATGTATGACGAGAAAGACATCTACAACTCCTCTGACAAAAATTTCCTCTTGCGGCTCGTGTTCATGTACGGCCGGTGGACCCACTCTGTGTCTGCCGTGTCCAACTTGTCCACTGTACCCCGCACTATCTTGTACACTAAAATATAAACAATCCATTGATAGGCGAGTCATATAGAGTAATCAAAAACTGGGGACACAAGTAGTACAAGAATACAAGGCTGGTTGCCATGGTAATTCAAGATGAGTTAATGGAAAGTAGAGAGTATATATAGGCTGGTTGCCATGCTCTCCAACTAACAGGACTAACAGATTAGTTACATTTTCTCTAGCTTGTACCCTTATTCTAGCTGGACCAATACACTATGATCAGTTAATTAACATAGATTCTCCATGCACAGCTCAACACACAAAAATATTTAAAATGTGCAAATAATCTCCAGTTTTAAATTAAATTAACAAACATAAAAAAAAACATTTTGATTATCCAAATTTACCTTTCATTTCAAACCTGGGCCCAACTTCCTTCAGTAAAAGTTCTCTGTCCTCAAACTTGTATACATGATGCCTATTAGATAAATATTTCCATTAATATTTTAATCAAAGTCACATTTTGGACAGTCAAAATATAGTAACCATCTAGCATAGCTTAAATTTCTATAATTAACTCATTTGCTACCAAAGCCTATCTCAAAACCCTTCCCCCAGCCATAAGCTAAGGGAGGTAACCCCCATCAATTTTTCTTTGAAATTGTTTTAAAAATAAGTCTATCATTTGGTTAATTATTTAAAAGGTACAAACTATAATTATTAATTAAAGAAATGTATTACCTCAAAGAAAATACATAATTTAAATTTAACCTATTTTTCTAATAGTATTTATTGTTTAGAATGAATTTTGTGATGCAACCAGGAGGGCCTCAGTATTTTTCTAATATTTAAAATTTGACTTAACAATAGATTCTGATTACTAATTTTAATAGCTTAAATATCTAACATAATATAAAATCTATTTAACTTTTTGAATCTTTAAAACAAATTGAAAACTATGATAATGCTGAAGCAACTGTTTACACAAAAACAAGTGTAAAAATCTGTCCGAATATTTGACTTAGTACACTTAATATAAAATAATAACACAAAATGCTAGAGACGTCAGTTATATTGGGGAAAAAAACCTCACGCATTCTTGTACTATATTTAGTAAGCGTAAAAAGCGTAGAAGAGCTTTCTGCATAAAAATGATGCTATAGAAACACGACAGGTAAAAGGAAGTAATGGCGGTCATGTCATGTTGCATTTGGTCGCAAATTAGTTAACCTTAACAATGCTATAATATTAGTGGTTACCTGAAGGAAATATAATCCTCCTCATTAGCAAAGGTCATGACTCTTCTTGAATCTTCTTTGGGCACAGGAAATAGGTATTTTAAAACATCCCTGACACGTTTTCCAAGTTTTGAAGATAAATTTTTAAAGATGAGGTGTGGGTAAGCCTCAGACATTGTGCCCACATCAGGAATATCATGACGCATGACTACATTTGTCAGTGTGAAAAATGCTGTCGGTCCAAATGGCAGGTGACACACAACAAGGCCATCTAATTTAGAAAAATATCACTGCATTTACTGACACACATGAGAAGATATAAGAAAAATTGGCAATAAGTTACAATTAATAACTTAGATGAGACATTGTATAAATTAAATTTCTTGCTCAGTATTTTAAACAATTTATTTTGATCTAATCTACTTTTCTATGCTAGTATATCATAGTTAATTAAAACTTTCAAATTAACATAGAAATTAGACCCACTGAGTATAGAGACACAGGTAATGGCTATATAAATGGAGAGTATGTTGCCCCCTCACCTGGTACACCTCTGTGCTCTTGTACTAAAATAACATCTGTTATATCGTTGGCCCTGCAAGCTTCAATGAGCTGTTCCATTCTGTAGTTACCTCTGTTAATTCGCTGGGAGTTAGGGAATATCAATTTCATTTCCTACAATTTAAAAAAAAACCATTTAATGTATTGTCAGTTAAGAAGCTTCATTTCCTTTAGTAATGTCTTTTTAAAATTTGAGCTATGGGAAGTAAGTGTGACAGGGCATAGTGCTAGCCCCACACTGTCACTACATACTGAGATCAGAGAAGAACTGGCAAATTATTTCATCTGACATGAAAAACATTTTATTTTCCAAAAACAGCCCAGAGTAATTTAATTAATTAAACAAGTGGTATTAATATTAGTTTTCATAACCATTGTTGTTTGAAAAAAGCCTTCAAAAGAACAAAACACAGAATAGTTCTGATATGCTAAATAATAATTATTGGAATATTTACTTTAGCAAACTGTTTGAGCTTAGAGCTGGGATCTCTTGCTGTTGTGATCATGATCTTTGGATCTTCAACTCCCGCCCACCTATATTCATCATCAACACTTGTTGTTAGACCTAGAAAGAAAATGTTATTATCAAATAGTGAGAAACTATTCTAAGCTGATGAAACAAAACAGTTGCAAACAGAAATCATCAAATCAGTTTTTAATGCTTAATGAGCATTACAATAGTTTTAAATAAAACAAAAAAAAAAAAATTTCACAATGATGACATCTGTCATTACTGTAAAAAAAATAGACGTTTGTATTCATACAATAAAATCTCAAAAATGTAAACAAATACTTACCATCAGCCCCGTCATCTTCCCATTTTAAAGTTTTGTGTAATGTGATGGCATCTGCCCTGAGATCTGTAGGTATCTGTTTATTTTCTGAAATACAATGAAGTTAAAAAAATGTTTCAAAGCAAACTAAAGCTCTTTAAAATAACTACTTTTAAAATAAATTCCAAATACATTTAAAGTTGATAAAATGAGACTATTAGTAAATTAGCCAACATATTAAAATTAGTAAACAGTGAATTTTCTGTAACCTTCAACTGCACTTTTGAGCTTTTGTTTCTTTTCTTGAATAGCTTTTTCACGCTCTTCTATAGTTTTTCTATAAATATATTCTCTCCGTAGTCGAGCCTGGCGACGAATCTGTTAAAATAGAAGAATAATTCAATTAAAACTAATTTAATGTAATGTGAAACCTAATTGCAGGCAAATGATTTTAAGTGTATTCTATTTATTTATTTGTTATATCTGGACTAACAAATAGTTCTTACATGTCTAGTCTGGTGTCTTATATTTTATATAAATAAACACGGCTTCCCAGTCTAATAGACCATTGGACTGAGCATTAGAAATCCAAGCACAATGCCTGAGTGGTAAAATAAGAAGAGCCAGATGTTGCCAGTGAATTGTATCAGTCACATTCTCATTCAGTGAAAGCTGATTGATTAATGGTCTCACTGATCTGTGAATTTATTGTTTTTGTGACTGTGAGAAGAGTTTCTTCCAGGCATCTCTTTGGGGGGGGGGGGGGGGGGACGGGGACGACGACAACGAAGAATGTCGAATAAGTCTACTTTTAACTTTCTACTAGATCTACCTACTGCGTCCCCTTTTAACTTTTAACAGTGTCCACCTCCCTCCCCCTAAAATTTTAGTCCGCCCCCCCTTCCCCCCCCCCCCCGGAAATATCAAGTGCTACAAATGTCTGGAATAAACACTGACTGAGTCAGTGTGCAACTCAACTGTCCTAGGGTGCAGTTAGTGTGAGTCTGCGAGTCAGTTGGAGTTGCTCAAGCAAACTGTGAAGCTGCTCATGTAAATTTTAAATAAAAGCGTTTTAATGACTTTAATAAATTAGTGGATATTAATACGTACCATGTTGTATTGTTATTAGACCTAGACAAGATAAGAATTAGATTAGAAATCTAGATCTAGATTATATAGTCTAGAAATCTGGAGTAATCAAGAAAACATTAAAAATAAAATAAACAAATGCCGCATGCGCTAGCAGTACAAAAACGAAACCGGAATGAGTAATATCATTTATTCGCTTTTTAAGTATTTTTTTACTTTTCGGATATTTTTATAATTTTTTAAAATCAAAAAAAAAATATTAAAATATAACAAATTAACTAAGATATATAGCTCTTAATCAACTTAACATTATGACGCTGCTGTGTATAATCAAAAATGTTTATTCCCAGGCCTACCTGACAGCCTACAAGATAATCGCTCTCGATAGATCTATAATTAATTAGGCTTTGTAAATTTAAATACCCTAATATTTCATCGGATTTTCTGGTATATTTTAGCTTTGATTAGACAAGACATTACTATATTCAGTTAGATCCTTAATAAGAATTGATAATAATAATAACGAAAATTTTAATACGTTTTCATTGTATATTTCTATAGCATTTTTCAATCAAAGTGTTGAAATGTTATACTGAGATCTACATTTATAGATTAAAAACTGATGTATCTTGTTGTGTATAAATGATGTGTTAAAAGTATATATTTTCTATATAAATTTCATTTCGTTCGGGGGGGGGGGGGGGGGCGAAGAGAAGCCTGGAAGAAACTGTTCTTGACAGGACAAAAATAAAAGCAGGCTGAAATGGGAGTCAATGGCCTCAATGGCGCATAACCAGTTGAAACGTATTCATAATTGTGATGGAGGCGTGGTCGAGTCGGCAAAACGCTCATGGTTGATAAATTCGAAAAAGTCACTAGTTCAAAACCATCTGGCAGATAAGGCTCGATCCCTTCCAACACTAAAAATTAAGAACGAAGATTTCTATAACACCTGTATCAGTGCATTAGACTGTAACAATTCTCTTTTTTCAACTTCATTCACCGCTGTTCGGTCACTTTAGGTCAATTATCCTACCCAGCGTATACCTAGCGTTTTTAGATGACTGTTCTAAACATGCATATACAGTTATACTGATTCAGAAATAAAATTAAATAAGTAACAGTGGTATTATGACAGTATTTTTTTTTCTCCAGGGATCCATTGGGGGGGGGGGGGGGGGTTGTTACCCCCTAACCCCCCCCCCCCCCGCCTTCGCCACTGGATCCTACACAAATTTCACACCCCTATCACACAGCCCACTCTCTACTTAATTCTGCACACATAATCATTCCATGCACCAATACTCTCATTGAAGCACACAATATTCACTTCGTTACACTTGGGCTGTCATGCGTTGTCATCTGTTGTCATGGTTATATTTGTTGGTTATATTTGTAGTGGACACTCTTGTCACGTGACAGTAAACAAAGTTGACCTAAAGCAGATTTGACGTCCAGACAAGTCGAACGATGAGAATATTTTACCACTTCCCTGCATGACCTACTTCCGTGTTAGTGGGTCATGTCATTCTAAGTAGGTTAGACGCTATATTTTTATTTATTTTTGCGGCTTAAGTACCACATTTATTCCAAATTGGTTTGGAATTTAAATAAATTTACAAAAGAGTATTGAATTTAATGGCAACTTTAAGATTTGAAGAGGGCGCGATCTCTTAGTTTATAGTTATATTTTAAAGACTCAGTGCTCTTGTTAATCAGTTTTATTTAAGTTTGTGAATTTTATTAGTTAAATATTTAAATTAATGATATTCAATTAATCATAACAATTTGTTACAGCTATCTATAAGGAGAAAAAAAATAGCCTACATAGTTGTAGTGAACGAGAGATGGGGATGCATGGGGGTGAATGTTGTTGTTACTAAGTACCCTATCCCGTTCGTCCTTGTTCAGTTCTCGTGCTGTGAATTGTAATAGTCCGGTTTGTACCAGTTTATGAAAATGTATATAAGGTGTATGAAAACGTGTGTGTTTGCCTCAGTAACGTCCATAGAGTTTCTTCCAGGCATCTCTTCGGGGGTCGGTAGGGGGGGGGGGGGGAGTCCGCCCCTCCTCCGTCCGCCCCCGTAAATTTCAAGCGCACCCCCGGAGAAAAAAGTCTGGAAGAAACACTGTTCGTCCAGATCTCCAAGGTTAGACACTGTATCGTAATTTTACTACATTGTGTATTTTGTGTTTAGAATAGACTGCGTTAGGTGTAGACAGAGGCGTAACGAGGGGGGGGGGGCGGGGGCGGACCGCACCGGGTGACACCATTTAGGGGGGGGGGGGACACCAAGGCAAAAAATAGCAAAATATATAGAGAAAAACTTGAGGGGGGTGCAAATCGAAAGTTTGAGGGGGGGGGGGGGTGCAAATCGAAAATTTGAAAGTTTGTCCCCGGGAAGGGTCGCTACGCCTCTGAGGGGTGACACCATTAAGTGCCGCACCGGGTGACACCCGACCTCGCTACGCCTATGGGTGTAGATAGTGTAGATATAATTTAATTATTTTAGTTTTAACGAGCCTTTGTTTTCATTCAGTCTTGTATTGTAACCCGTTTATGGTTGTTTGTCTTATATGTTGCGCTACGCATCGGATCACCCGTAAGTTTGAAATTATAAACATACACGAGCTCAACGTCGCTAATTGCCTTCACTCAACATGAGCAGCTTTTTATTTCGAGGTCGAGCACCACCAACTACACCGTTTGCCTGCTGTAATACTACTGGTGTAGCATCATACATTATTCCTTAATTTATCAGAGTAGGCATAGAAACCAAAGTTGCGCAGATTGTAAAAACAAAGTCAAGCAATATATAATTTGATTAGCTTTAATGGGAAACCAGCATCTGCTTATGATTCAAAATATTCAAACATTACAAAAATAACCCATAATTTACAATACATATACACACAACTTGTAAAGTTAGATATTATCAAAACAGAAAATTTCAAAATGTCAATGTTACAGATAGAATACTACATAGTAGTTATTAGTTAAATAATCAATTACATAGTAATTACATATAGTCTACATACTGTAAACGATCCAATTAAATCATTGAAGAAGCAGCATACTTTTCAACCAGGAGTACATTTAATAGATCAATATTTAAAATTAATCTATAAAATTCAATCTAATTATAAGATAAAGATCAATCTGAAATCCAAATTTTAAAAATGTATAAAATGAACACGGCATCACAATGTCAAATTCTGTAAAAACTTATTTTTGCCACTAAAGAAATAGTTTTTTTCAGTGAAAGTTAAGATAACTTACATCTAACAGGACACAATCGATACAACATTAAATTTGCTTAACTTCTATATTAACATTTTTGGAAATAAATAATGAAATAAACAGAGAAGTCATATCACCATATCACACGTTGTTTGTAGGAAAATAACGCGGTCTATTGAGACAATATACTGTGTAAAAGATAATAAATAATTGATTATACTATTCACATTGTCATTAGGCATAAATTGGGTACTCATTTAAATATATCAGAATCAAATTGGCTTATAGATCTATTTGTTTTTATAAAATTAGCATTCACTTTAAAAATCTTATATCAAAACGAGGTCGCTTTGATGTAAAACAAAAATCCAGAAAACAGTTTGCTCGATGATCGTGCAGTAAAATCTTGTCATTTTGTAAAAATGTATTCTGAGACAGTCACATATATATTAGCACATTGTTTTGTTTATAAAAAAAAAAGCTGAAGTTCCTAAAACACATTGTGATTAAAATTAAAACAAAATTATCAATTTAAAAACAAAGTTTTCTCTTCGTTAAGCAGCAACCGAACACGAAATTTTTACCCAGTCTGTTTAGAAAAAAAAAACATATTTTTCTTTGATTTGCATTTAAAACACGAATAAATTAGAAATATCTGCTCACTGCTAAGCGTGAAACTTTACCATCAATACTTGTACACAGTTGGAGTAGTCCTCAGATGCTCCTAGAGAGGAAACTCCCCAACCTCCTCAGGTACTCCACACCCCTCAGCATGAGCTGGTTGCCGCACCCATATCGCCGAAAGACATTCCTCTTTCGTCGACACGAAGGAAGAGCTCCTGATGTGACGACATTGGCGACTGGGGTTCCCTGGCTTCTCAGGATCATGTCCATCTGGCACAGGACTGTGAAGGCTTCTTTTTTGGCATCGGTTAACTCCGGAACTATTCGGCCCGAGTCTAGAGTCTCTTGGTTTTTGATTGTCTGCTGAATGAGTCGGATGATGGTCGAAACATTGGCGTAGTCTTGTTGTAGTGTGCTGGTTAGGTCTCCCGTAGCCGTGTCTCGTCTGGTTGGAATATTTTCCGATCCTTTCTGAACAAAATCTTTCTTAAGTCTAAGTTTTTTTAAAAACTTCTCGGAGACTTCTTCGAACTCGGATATTGCGGTGTTGCAAGCAGCCACAGCCGATGTGATGAGCTCTCTTAAGGGTGGGAACTCATGTTGAGCGTGTACATCTAACTGACAGGGGTTGTCTAACGTAGGCCCGTGAATGACTGAGGCCCTTGCAATAGCCACAATACAAACGATCACGAAGAACAGCTGTGAGGTTTCCATATTTGAAGTAACAGCGTTAAAGTCTGATAACTTAGTAATGTTGATTTGAAGGGCTATACAACTTGTGTTTGGGTTTTCTTTTTTAAAATCGGCGTTCAAATATCGCGTTTTAATTGTTTGCTTTGAAACGATTTCTCTTGCTATTCAAAATTGTTTCAAACAATTCAAACGATTGCTCTTGTTCAACTATCGTACCATGAAATTTTAAATCTTTATATACTGAAATTTACTCGATAACATCTTTCCGATTTCATTGAAACAAACGTATTTTTGTGGGATAATTTTTCCCCCAAATCGCTTGCGTCCACGCATAATCTCAAGAGATTCTATTTATAGCCAGGTTAATTTTTCTCGTAGTGACGTAACGTCAAGCACGGTGTAGTGAGGAAGTCACGTGATATCACTTTCTCTCACGATGTATTCTTTACGTGCGAGGACAATCGAAGCTCACATTCATAACTTTATATGTGCAAATTTTCGGCTGTGGGTGGCGGGGAGGTGGCTACCAGGAAAGTTGTCAATGGAATTGTGTACATATCGGGTTGTCATTACGAAACATGAAATAAATTTATGTTACAAAATAATAAA